TTTGGCTGGCATTGAAGAAGCCCAGGTTCAAATCCTCACTTAGCCGTGCGGCTCAGCCGGTCTGGTCGCTGCTGTCTCAGCCAGCCTCACATGGTTGTGGTGAAGATCAGCTGCCGGAGAACGTGCACAATGCTTTGCATGAGTCACAGAAAAAAGGCGCAGGACCTAAACAGAAACAAACGATTGAAGTAATGCAAACTTAAATACCTGCATTCCAATACATGTCCGCAAAAAGCTGTTTGCACAGTGAACCAATACCTACTTAGCCGAAAGTGAGCCCCATGGAAGGGAGGGGGCGAGGATAGGCTTGCACAGTCTGTCTACTGACTGCTTTTATTGGGCACCTTTTGTCAAAAGTGCCCAGGTGCTGGTGAGTCACTTACTGGCCAGAATACTGCAGGACAGGAGCAGTGTGCTTCTTACGGAGCAGTTGCCTAGAACATCACATGCCCTGCTTTCCTTATATTTTCATGAAAAGAATCCCATTCTCTCTGAGCAGAAGGCAGGGCTTGGGTAGGGCAAGCGTGGAACGGAATCCTAAAACCCTCCACTCCGAGCAAGGCCAGGAACATTTCAAAAGTGCTGCTGCAAATATGCCATCCTATCTGTTGTGCATCTCATCACAACGCAGCAAAGATTTGCACAAGGAGGCCTTTGCACAGGATACAGGATATTAAGGCAGCTCGCATCGTTTGCAAAGAAGATCATGTGTCTGGAAGGCTGGCCTGAGCACTTGCAGTCAACAGACTGTCGGGAGGTGCAGAAAGTTCTTGTCTCTGAAAGCTTGTTTTTGTTAAACTTGCCATCAGGTCATCTTAGATTTATGGTGATCCTAGAGGTGAACACAAGCCAAAATGGCCTGTCCTTCACTCAACTCTTGTAAATTCAACACTGAGCTTCCTTTATGGAATGGATCCATCTCGTCATTGGTGTGCCTCTTCTTCTGCCTTTGCCTTTTCCTAATTTGATCACCTTCTCCAGTGAATCTTGCAGAAAGCGCTCCTTTAGCACCATGTTTTGAATTCTTCTAGTCAGTTCTCTTCCCTGTCCAACTCTCACACCCGTACACGGTGATGTGAAAGCTTCTGCCAGAATCTGTTAACCTACAGGGCTGGCTCCATTGTGAGAAGGGCTTTAGCAAACTCTTCTTAGTGTGCCCCTTCCTATGCATTTCGACTCTTCAAGATTCCTCGGGGACTTACAGCATGGCAGAACAGGCCTTTTTTCCTCTTTACTGTAACGCAAGGTGCAGAAAAGTGGCCGAAAGGCAATCAGCAGGCCTCCGCTGTTTGTTTTCCTACATTAATGCATCACAGAAGAAAAACAGAATGGCCACCACCAGCCCAGTGGCTGCCCCTGAAGTTCCGTCGTCTGGTGTGAGGAGGCCGTTTGATCTTGCGTGGTCGTGAGGGCGCACAAGCTGCCTGAGAATGCCTGCCAGCATCACAAGAGTCTTTGTTTCCGCTTCAAAAGACTCACATGGGTTGACTCTGCTGGACTCGACGCTGCTAGGGACATGGTGACTGTTCCTAGTGCTTGGGTATATAGTTAATGTTGCTTCAGAGCTGGGAACCATTGACTGGTTCGCACAGCGCAACAACGGACTGTTATCCTTGGTTTGTTGTCATGTGGAACAAGCCCATGGCTGCTCCTCTGATTGACAGCCATGATAAGGACCCGCTTTCTGGGTTGGGGTCTGTTGGACTCATGGCAGGCTGTTGGGTTGTCCAAATGCAGACGGCATGAGCGTCCATGGTTCAAGACTGACTTCGAGTGAGCAGCTTCTCAAGAGCCGTAACACCATCTTCAAGCTACCTGGTGGCTGGCATTGCCACCCACCCCAAAAGTGCCCAAGTGGCACGTGGAGGGTGGCGAGCAAAGGGTTTGTCCCCCCACCCCCTTGACGCAGCCATCTTAGCCTTCTCAGATATCAAGGAGGGCGGATGTCCAGCTGTGTCTGCTATCCATGTTTGGGCAGCCACACACCTTCCCCTCGGTGCCCCAGCAGTACCTGGAGGGGCTGCCTGTGGTGACCCCACACTTTGGGTTAGAAATAATATGCTCGAATAACTGCTCATTATTTTCCCTTTTAACCTGACTTACCTGATTAAAAAAATAGGGAGTATTGGGCGAGGGTGCCTCCCAGCCAAATCCACCACCCAAATACAGTGCCCACCCAGGCTGCGGGGGAGTATTCCCAGATCACAACTGCCTGAGCCTTGCAAAGCCCTGGGAGATCCTTATCTGTAAATGGGCTGTTTCCTTATCGATCCTCCTTTTTTAGTTGAGATCAGTGTCCTCCCATTTTTAAGCAGTGCCCCCCATCTAGGAAATACTGAGAACTGAAGGGGCTTCCTCCTTCAAAGGCAGACCTCTCAGCTTGACAGATGAGTAAGTACTCCGGAGTTCTGTTTCTGAAGTGAAATGCAGGGGCAGAAAATGCACAGGTACATAGAGCCCTTGTACCTCTGCATTTTCTCATCAGAGCAGAAATTATTAACCCTGTCCAAAAGAACCTGGGATTTTGGCAGCTGAGGAATGCCTGCCATCAAAATCAAAGTGCACCCAGGTAAGAGAATTCTTCCAATTTTTTTGCAGAACCACAGGGTCAGTTACAAAACCAAGGGGACCCTTGGAAATGTGATCACCTGCCAAAAGCCCCAAGGATCCTACTGTGAAGGGGTTGAATTTGTGGCAGGTGGACTGCAAATGCCCAGTTCGGGCAGGATCCTTCTTGGGGGGGGGGGCGGGCATGTGCGTTTTCCCCAGCATTTTCCCCATGTGGGGGTTATCCACATGGGGAAAACACTGGCAGCTCATGCACGAAAGTCCCAGCTGCAAAGAGCCTTTGGGAGGTACCTCCTGCTTCATTCACACATCTCCAAAAAGGGTTTCTTGACATGCTGCTGGCTTGCATCCTGCATCAAGTGTGCATGCCAGAAAGGTAGTTTGGGCCCTGGAGGCACATGATCTCACTCCCCAGAATGGAGGATCCATTTATGAATAGGAACAGCTGGCCCAAACGGGCCACCAAAGCCAGCCAGAAGAGGAAGAGGAGTGAAGAATCCACAGTGAGACTGATCTTCGGATGGGCGCCGCACGGGTGCTTGACAGAACAACCTGTGCATTGGAGCAGTCGCCACCACGGGTTGTCGCAGTGCGCACCCCTCCTGTTGTGAAAGGCTGGGTAGAATGGAATGAAGACAAGGAGAGAAAGGCAACTTTCCCCTTTTCTCAAATTCCCTTATTGTATAAAAGCAACCAAGTCAGAAAAGCTGAGCAGTGTCCTTCCAAATGTAGATTTTTCTTAGGCTCCCGGCCCACGTGTTCCTTGTGTTTGGAAGAGCAGCACTTTGCTGATTGCGCAGCCAGAGTAGCACATTGCCGAGGAACAGCGCACCTTAGAGGGGTTCCTTGACATCCGGAGTGTGACTTTCTTGGGTTTTACCGCTCCGGTTAGAGACTGAGGAGTAGCAGGAAGTGGATCTCATGAAATGGCATAGGTAGTGCATTAGTGAATTAAGCCGGCCTGTCTGCAGAGGTAATTGGCATCACAAAGCGAGCAGGGGGAGCGAAGCGGGCACCGGGCTGGCTCTTGCTTAGGGGCCACAGTTGGCCATCGGTACTAATGAAACATGTTCAGCTACAGCAAACTACAACATGGTGGTGTTTGGAAGCTATGCAGCCTGAGCCATAATTTAGATACACTCCTTTAGAAAGAGTGCTAGCATAGCAAATGGAATACTGCTAAGTGTTGTGAGCTTATCCGCAATACTTAGCTGCTTCCTATTAAAAAACATCCAGAAACAAAATAAATCCCCAAGTCTGCTGTCTGGTGCACACCTGCACAAGTTCCTTTTGGGTCTTACTTCTGAGTAAACAGAAGTAGCTTTGTGCCTTTTTCTCTGTTATCACCCCCTGTGAAACATTAAGTTGTACCCACCTTAGAAGAGACCTGCCTAAATACTTCATAACTCTACAGATCTTAACTTTAAATTTCCTCCTAACCTTTTCCTTCTCTTCTTTGTCACAATTAAACAACACCATCTCTGATTTATCCCAGTTTATTTTAAGCTGTAGAACGCCATGTAGATTCATGGTGATAGATGAATAGCGATGCCTGTTCTTCCGGATGGCCTTTATTTAAGGAAGCCAAACTGTACTGGGAATGCAAAGTTTTCCAGATGATGTTTTCAACACTGTTCAGATCCCTCCCATTATTGGTCTCCCCATCCCATCCTCCTGTGTGAATGCATCTCTGCACTGGAAGCGGGACCGGCCTCCGTGGCTGCCTTGGCAGCCGTGTATGCATGTGTGCACAGACACTCGAACAAGGCTGATGCGGTGGTGCAAATTGCACTGTTGTGCATGCCGATATGGGAGTAAAGTTCCCGTGAACACATTATTATTATTAGAACATTTCTATGCCACCCCTTGCCGAAGCCTCAATGGGTCAATGTGCGCAGATGAAGAAGTCCATCACTCGTGGTTTCATGTACCTTCTTTGGCTTGACACAGAAAGAAAATGTTTTGTCTGTTTTCTATGTAAGAAACCACCTGGAAGGCTAAATGACTTTCCTACACAGCAGTCGTGTCACATCATCCTGTGTTATGAAGTGCCTGTTTCATTGAAGGGTCCTGCTGCCAGCTCTGGTTTGAGGTACGCATAGATGCAGCCAAGTGGAACCACGGTATACTCTGTGTGCATGCAGGGGAGGCAGCACTTTCTACACCAGAAGGAGCCCTGTCTGGAAATGCATTCACTGGTAGAAAACAGGCTTTGGACTCTTCAGACATTTTGAATCTAGCTTGTATCTCTATCTAGCTTGCACAGCCAGGGAAAGAGATGGTAGCCTGCAGACCATTCAGAGCTGACAAGTCTGTGCAAATTTATCTAGGTGGAGCAGAACAGAAAGTGTAAGGACGAACCCTACATGTTTTATCGCCTCTCTTTTCCATCTTTCATCGTTCCCCCCTTCCTTCCCCCCCCTCCCACCCAGGGTGAAGAAGCTGAAGGAGACCTTTGCTTTCATACAGCAGCTCGACAAAAATATGAGCAGTCTTCGCACCTGGCTGGCACGCATCGAATCTGAGCTTTCCAAGCCTGTCGTTTACGACATCTGTGACGATCAGGAGATACAGAAGAGGCTTGCAGAGCAGCAGGTGGGTGGGCTGGGGAGAAACAGACCAGCCCGAAGAGGCGGGTCAGCAGTTGCCTTGTGGCTGCGTGGTCCCTTCCTTCCACTTTTGGCGTTTCCTCCTCAGCGCATCTTTTTGATTGAACCGATGCCGTCCCATGTGGGTGCTTGAACCTCATGGGGAATGGCTCCTTCCCTGGGCGGAGAGCTAAGAGAGCCTCTCTCCAGAGGCAGTGTCTCTCTGAATACCAGATGCCGAGGCCAGGCAGCCTGTCTTGGTACAGCTGCTCATTTTAGAATGTGCACAAGGTTTGGGCTTTTGCTGAGTGCTTTGTCCCACAAACGAGACCCCGTCATTCATCCGTCGCTGCGGTTGGGTCCCCAGCGGGTTCTGTCCAAGGCTTGGGGAAACTAGTGGAGAGTTGGGCAGTCGCTGATAGCAGGGAACGCTTCTTTCACTTGCGCTGTGGAGGCACAAGGTGGCTAAGAGCTCTGTCCCCTATAGTCCCAGAAGCAAATGAAACATTATTTTATTTATAGCCCATCCGGATGTGGTATTGCCGGCATCTGTTCTGCAGTGAGCCCTTTACAAATCTCTGCCTTTGTTTTTAAGACAAAAAGCAAAGCAAAACCACAGCCTTGGGGTGTGACGGGAGGTGCCCTGGATGACAACTGAGGACCAGACTGCTAAGATTTGAAATTTCCTTTGCCCTTGCATGTCCATTATCGATATCATCATCATCATCATCATCAAGGAGTTTATCCCATTTATTTCCAACCTTATTTTTGTTTAAGATGGCTTACATCTCCCTCCTGCTTGTTTCCATATTGTCCTCACAGAAGCCCCGCGAGGGAAGTCTCGCTGAGCATCAGTGGCAGACCCAGTGAGCGTCATGGTCAAGCAAATACTAGAACTCAAATACATCAAGTCTCAGCCTGGCGCTCTAACCACTACTACACACTGCCTCTCAAAAGGACGGGTTTATTTAACAGAGCAGTGACTTGGAGGTGGGAGGGTGAGCTGACTCAGTGCTGGGGCTTGGTGGAGAGGGACTTTGTCCCAGCTGGGACACCCTTCACCTGCTATACTCTGTGAAGAAATGACTTCCTTCGGTGCCTGCAGAGGCTTTCCTCTGCTTGCAAAAAGCTGCCAACAGAGGGGCTGATTTTCATCTGGACAGTGGTGGGGACAAACAGTTAAAGCTTTCCTGCCCTGACACGATGTTCCTGCTCTGCATTTTTATTTTTTTGATGAATGGCTCCTGTCTCTCTGGGCCCAAAAGCAAAGCTGCACCACTGGCAGAATGGCATGGCAGTTGCTGGCAAATACATCCAGGGAACTCCTGCCCAAGCGTTCTCCTGCATTAATCAAAAAAGCAGCCAGCCAGGCCACTCAGACAAGTATGTAAAGTGAAAGTTAGGATAGCACAGCCCTCCCCTCGCTGGCTGGAGAATTCTGGGTGTTGTAGTCCAACTCATCTTGCAGAACGGCAGGCTAGGATGCTTTCCACAGATGTGCTGGTTCTGCACATGCAGGGTGTTGAACCTGGAGTCTCGCACAGGAAGTCTCTCCTATCGTTGCCTTACCTGCATCCATCCCACCTTCCTTCCTCTTGCAAGGAGCCCAAGGCAGGCTTCTCCATTCTTCTCCTCTCGTTTTATCCTGGCAGTGACCTGACGTAGGAGGTTGGTTGTGCTTCTGTGACTGTCCCCGCATCACCTAGCGAGCTCCGTGGCTGAGTGGGGGCTGGAACCCGGCTCCCCCGAGTCCCAGTCCCGCATTCCAACCACTATGCCATACAGACGGGCTGCGTTGAATGCCTTAACTGCAGCCGGACAAAATGCAGCCCAGCAAGCAAAGCGCTTCCCAGGCGCTCAGCTTTTCGGGAAGCTCTTTCGAGCCCTTCTAACCCTGTGGCTTTCTGCAGGCCATGTGCAGCAGTGTCTGCTGTTGTCGTGGGACTGCCTTCTGTTCCAGCGTTTAGAGAAGAAAGTATCACTTAGGACTAGCAGTGGCTTTTTGCTCACATTGCCAGGATTTGCAGCGGGACATTGAGGAGCACAGTGCAGGTGTGGAGTCCGTGTTCAACATCTGCGATGTCTTGCTGCACGACTCGGACGCCTGTGCCAACGAGACCGAGTGCGACTCCATTCAGCAGACGACGAGGAGCTTGGACCGGCGGTGGAGAAACATCTGCGCCATGTCTATGGAGAGGCGGATGAAGTGAGACGTGTTGCTTTTCTCTTTTCTGGAAACTGATGTCGTAAATGGTTCTACCAGCCGTTCCTTAACTCCATTTTAAGTGAGATGCGCCTCTGAGCCTCTTAGGAAAATCAAAGTCCTGCACTGCATATATTGGGAAAGCTGCTCTGCACCAGCAGCTGTGCAAAACCATCACTCCTTGTTTCTCCCCATTAGGATCGAGGAGACCTGGCGACTGTGGCAGAAGTTTTTGGATGACTACTCCCGCTTCGAAGACTGGCTGAAGACGGCAGAGAGGACTGCAGCTTATCCCAACTCCTCAGAAGTTTCGTACACAAATGCCAAGGAAGAGCTGAAGAAGTTTGAAGTAAAGTCGCTCTTTTTGTTTGCCCATGGCTGTATGGATGCTGTTTGGCTTTTCTTCCTTCCCTCCCTCCTTTCTCCGTTCTTTCCTTCCATCCATCCATCAATCCATCCATCACTTGGCTAAGTGACATGCGGGGAATATTGCAATATCTCAAGAAGCATTTTAGTTTTCTATTTAAAATAACAGACAGGTTTTCACCTAAATATGCTTAAAGGGATTTATTGCCAAGAATTAAAACATAAATGCCGATGAGGGTGTGAAAATCAGGCTGGGATTTAGCTCACTGGCGCTCACCGGACTTGCTTCCCAGGCCAGGCCCTGGCCAGAAAATGAGCTGAGCTGAGATCAAGTCCAAAAACACTGGAGAACACAAGTGGCTTCATTGTGCAAAAAAGTACGTAGTTCTTTGCACAAAGCAGGTGAAGCATGTAATTCTTTGCACAAGTGCACAAAGTGTGCAAGTGACATGTACAGAAGCAGAATTCCACTCGAACTCGCTTCCTGCTGGACACGGATGTGAAAGTTTGATGCGAGGCACACTTAGAGAAGAGAGAAGGTGGGCTGGGATCAGGGGAACCAGGCTGAGCAAATCTGATGACTCCTACCCCCAGACCAAGTTCCTCACACATCCGTAATACAGGCAATGTTAGGCTGGGCGGAGAATTAGCTGGACCGGGACAAGGCAGCTCCCATGTCTCTGAGAAGCAGGGACTGATATACCCCATGTTCCAGAAGCATTAGGTTAAAGCCTTTCAAAGAAACATCTCACTCTAAAATAATAAGCTCCGCTTTCATCACAGGCATTTCAGCGGCAAATCCATGAGCGACTGACTCAGCTGGAACTGATCAATAAGCAGTACCGGCGCTTGGCCCGTGAGAATCGCACTGATTCGGCCAGCAAGCTCAAGCAGATGGCGCACGAGGGCAACCAGCGCTGGGACAACCTCCAGAAACGCGTGGCAGCAGTTCTCCGGAGACTCAGGGTACACACGAGCTTCACAGAGTTCAGTGCAGAAGCCCCTCATGCAGGGGGCGCACTTAACCACAACGCTCTGGATGCCAGTTCTTGCAAGGGGTAGGGCTAGGGTGGACAGGCCAGAACTCCTCCTCCCGGCTGCTGATTTCTGCTCCTTGCTCAGACTCCAGATAAGGAGCAAAGCTCTGAGAATGCGGTGTGGTGCAGTGATCAGAGTAGCTTTCCCCAGCGTAGTGCCCCCCCCCGGGGGGGGATCTGTATTGTTCCTCAAATCATGGGAGGTTATCACACTGAAGGACACAAGGGTGTAAGTTCACATGTCCCAGGCAATATGGCACACTGTGTTGCTTGTTGCGGAAACAATCCATAGTGTGCCTGACACAGAGTTGGGCTCACTGGGTTGTGACTCCCCATCAGTCCACCAACTGCCATTCCAGAGGACTTTGCAGCTCAAACGGTTCTCCCATCACAAATACGAGCCATTTTGGTTTACCGAGTGTCCCCCCATTCCCTGCTTTCTTCACAATCTCTCTTGTGACAGCTGCTGTCAGTGTTCCACCATGTACTCCAAATGTGTGCAAATAGTTTTGCTAATTTTTTATTTTTTAAAAAAAGTAGAATCATGCAATTCCAGAAACGCAGACGTGCAAATTTCTGCATGTGTGAAAATTGGAAGTCTCATCATGAAACCTGCATGTGTCTTTGTCCAGAAAACTCTTCAGCATTGTCTAAATTTCTCTTTTGAAAGGGAGCCCAACTTTTGACAGCTGGGAATACTGCTGGATCCTGTCAGAGGGGGCAAAGTGCACTTTTGATCTTTCCAAGCAGATCAAAAGTTGGAGGCATTGAGACATATCAGGTGAACAAAACCAGAGAATCGCAGTGCCAAGAGAGGCTAAATTTCCACCTGCTTTTTTGCAAGCAAGGATCTCTGCTGTCTTTGCCCTGATTGGCAGCTCAGTCTTTGACAGCTGCAAAGCATAGTGCAAAAAACAACCTAAATGGAGCCTTCTGGCTTGTTGACCGTGATTAGAACCTGCTGCATATTCTCCAGGCAAGGCTTCCCATTTTTGCACGTGTGCAAATGCACAGACCTCCATCTTTGGGATTGCACTGCAATTCCAGCTATTTAAAAAAATAAATCAACAAAACTATCTGTGCACATTTGGAATGGACCTATTTTTTTAAGGGATGGTGAACTATTGACAGTCCCCACAGTGTGACGCTTGGGCACATCAGGGACTGTCAAGATTGTGGAAAGCAAACTCTGCCCCACAAAAATAAGCAGGGAAAAGTAGGGGGCTGTCATGAGGCAAAAAACCTCCCAAACACAGTGAGATGGGCAGCACAGTGAACCACTGGCAGGCACCCCCCCCCCCGAACTACTGGGGCAGCGAGCACTCAGGCAAGCTCAGCAGGAGTGGCAAGGGGTTTGGGCCACGGTAGCCAAACGGCTCAGTCACCACTGCCCACAACCGGGAGTCATCCAGTTTGCAGAAGCCCTACTGGACTCCGTGGCTTCTCAGGATGGTTTGCTGGACACAAACAAGCCACCCTGAGGAAGGCAGTCTGGTTCAGCCAGCACAGCAACCCTGCATGGATCGCTGCCCGTGTTGGGTTGCCACATCGAGCAAACTGGGCCTTCTGTATGCAAATGGAGCAGCGATTTTGCAGGGTGACAGACCTGTGCCAGCATTTGCGCTGGGCAAGACTTCTGTGAAGGGGGTTCATAGGTCGGTGGCCTCTTGCTTTCTGGCTCTCTCCTGCCAAGCAAGCAGGTGGCTGCAGCACCTGGGAAGAATGAAGAGAAGGTCGGCCCACTGAGGGAGGGGGCCCAGAGAGGGTGTCTTCCTCCAGGGCCTTCGGAGCCTGGAGCCGGCCCTGGCATTGGGTGACTGTTGTGTGGTGGTCGTCCTCCAGCACTTCACCTGTCAGTGGGAGGAGTTTGTGGGAAAGAAGGACAGCATCCTGGTGTGGCTGACCGAGATGGACCTGCAGCTGACCAACGTGGAGCATTTCTCGGAGAGCAACTTCGATGACAAAATGCGACAACTCAATGTAGGTATTGACTGGTTGTTTGCTTGTTCGAGGTCTTCATTTCATAACCAGACTGTTCTGCTAACGGCCTCAGAGCCAGCTGTTTGCTTTGTATCGCATATCATTGACCGTCCTCTTTTTAAATCTTCCATGCAAGGCCAGTACATTTGTAGCGAGCCACTAGGACTCCACCAAACAAAGCTGCCTCGATTTACTGAGGGTGCATAGTCTACCTTCTTGCTAAGGAGCATCAAGCAGGTACCTTTCCAGGGGTGGGAGATTGCAATAACAACATTCTGGAGAAAGCAGGGCTCTCTGCACAGAATTCTGGCTTATTTCTCAGACGGCGATAAGAAGACAACTCTTCTGCCTTCCTGTCTCCATGGCACAGCTTCCCAGGCAAAGCCGGTAGCTCTTTTCTCTTCCCTCATTAGTTCCCGTTCGTGTGCCCTCCCTGGTGGGACTAGGCAGTGTGCGGCCATCGGCTGCACCTGCCGTGCAGAAGAGCAAGCTGCATGGCCCACCTGGTCCTGCCCAATCATTTGGAGCATTTTCCAGTTCCCACAGTGTAGAAATGTGTCTCTCAGTTCTCAGTTACTGACTATAAGCCTCTAAGCTATAACATGCTGGTCTTTTGTACACCCCCTTTGTCCGTGGTCCCACACCCCACTGGCGTGCGTCTCCTGAGGGCTTCTCCAAGGCAGCATTTGGCTGAAGAAGCCCTGCCTCTCCGGCACAGTCCAAGACTGGTGCTCCTCTGAGAGCATCTCAGGCGACAGCCAGGTCCGCTGTTGAACTGACGGCATATTGCTGCTTCGTAAGCTGCTGCCTCCTCCCCACCTCACCTCACCCTCGTCTCACACAGGAACATCCTGTGGGAAGCGGTCTTCCTTTTGGAGTATGAACACTCAGTCCTGTTGGAAATGGGCACCCTGATCTTGAAAATGTGCATTGTCATGGGAGTTTCGATTCACGTGGCTCCTGGAATGTGGACTATAGATCTAGTGCAATACATTCAAGGTCCTTGAAGAATCTGGCAATATAATGAATGAGGAAGGATTTCCTAGCGGAATCGGACTGTTGAGCAACTTTCGCCAAGGGCTGCCTTCTCCAGATGAGTGCAGCGGGTGTTGATTGCTTTAGCTCCTTGAGTTGTTTCAACCAGCTGCTCCCTACTGGAAGGCCATCTCCACTCTGGTGCACCTTGCTTGCTTGCTTGCTCTGACCTCTGTTTCTGGCATTCAGCAGCCTGGGTGTCCATGTCCAGCCAGAAGCTGCTTGGCACCAGGATAGTGAAGAAGCCTCTGCACTTCTCCCCCAACAGGGTTTCCAGCAAGAAATAACATTAAACATCAACAAGATTGATCAGCTCATTGAGTTTGGGGAATATCTGATTCAGAGGAGTGAACCGTCGGATGCGGTTGTCATCGAGGAGGAGCTGGAAGAGCTCCACAAATACTGCCAGGAGGTGTTTGGCCGCGTCTTTCGATTCCACCAAAGACTGTCATCCTGGCACCCGGTAAGAATGAGCAGGATTGTCTTCTGAGCTGAGACCCGCTCTTCAGTTTCTGCTTCTATTCCAGAAGTAGAAGCTTCCCTCATTACCTTCATTGGTGGGCTTGCTACAGAAAACTTCATGGCAGGCTGAGACCAAAGGGACAAAAGAGGATTTGAGCAGTGAAGAAGGAGCATCAAAAGAGTCCTGCTGGGTCCCGTCAAGGGTCCAGCCTTCTGTCCACATGGTGGCCGAACAGGCACCTGTGTGAGACACACTGTAAGGACAGGAGTGCGCTAGTACTTAGTTATATCACCTCTGATATTGGAGGTGGCTTGTAGCCAGGAGGGCTAGTAACTTTCGATAGCCTTAAGGAATGTAGGCTTATGGAGAAGGATTTGGGGAAAGGAGGTCTCTGCCCCCTTCCTGTTCCCAAGCCTTGCCCACTCCCCCGTTCTGCCACCACTCAGAACCCACCTTCCTCCTCCTCCCTCCTCCAGTGGTAGGTTTGGATGAGGAGGAGGCCTGGCTGCATTACCCGCCTTAGAAATGGACGTGAAGGTGAGCGTGTGGCAGACTCTCTTCTCGTAGCCCCCTGCCCACTTGTGAGAAGGCCCGTTGTGCGGTCTCACCTTGACCCCCAGTCGTAGAATCATAAAATCAAAGCTGCTGAGCCAGGACTTGTAGCCCACTGAAAATGCAGCTGAGCAACGTTTTTCCTGCTATTCTCCTTCCCCACAAGGAGGAACTTGGTTTGGGGATGATGGAAGCATCAAAAAGGGTTCCTGGAACTGGGTGTGTGGAAGCAAGTTTGCTAGTAAGGCAGGTGTGCTCTTTGGAAGACACTCCCCTTTTCTAGCAAATCGTCAGGATACAATCATTTCAATAAGTATTTATATTCATTACTTTGAAGAATTAGGATGTCTTTCTTTTCTTTAGGGGCTGGAAGATGAAAAAGAGACCTCTGAAAATGAGGGTGATACAGAAGATACGCAAGGGATGCAGAATGACTCCTGGCACAAGAAGGCCCTGCAGGAAGTGCCTCCGTCTCAGCAGTCCCTCTGTCACCTCATGCCCCCCACAGTGGGTCATGAGAGGTCAGGTTGCGAGACCCCAGTCAGCATTGATTCCATTCCACTGGAGTGGGATCACACAGGAGATGTGGGAGGCTCCTCCTCTCCTGAGGATGAGGATGAAGAACCTTACTACAGTGCACTCTCAGGTCAGTCCCTAGTCACCGTTTGCTAAAACTAGCATTAACTGCATTTGGGGTCATTTTTGACCCCAGACAAGAGTGCCTCAGGCATGGAAAATGCTGCATGTGGAAGGGCTTTGTTCTGGTTGAATTTTCCCCTAGGAGGTTTCAGTCAACATAAGAAAAGCTTTCAGCTCTCAGCAAGTACAGGGTATTTAAGATGTAATCATTCCTGAAGTTATACAGAACTATAAAATCTATGCAACAATGCTTGGCCTTTTGATCTTTTCCTTTCATAACTGTTGTTGGCCTGCTAGCTTAAAAAAAAAAAGAAGAAAGCAAAGCTTCCCCTCAGTGGATTTTAATTCTGTTTGCTGGAGATTTTAGCTAAGGATCTTAGCTTTCAAAAGACACCAAGATGTTCTGTACCGAGCCTTTTTGTTTGCTTGTTCCTTTGTTTGGTGTATAAAAGTACCCCAGAGAACTATTCCTATGGCCATTCATTTATAGAAAAAAAATACTTTAAAAGGCAGGAGGGTGAAATTTTAGACTAGGCACTTTCCGACAGTGTCCTAGAAGGAAAAATATATAGGACTACTTAATGTATAAATTACAGTACAATATGTGAGCTAGGGAGTTGCCAGTTCTCCAGGATGTGACAGGAAGATCAACATGTGCAAATGCATGTAGAATAGTATTTAATTGAACTCCCAGCACTGCAACTTCGATACAACACCTTTCCCCTCTGCCCAGTTCAGTGATGCTTATTCTATTTATTACACAGAATGAGGTCGGAGAAATCTCTTCCTTGGGCTTGGGGAGGAATTTGTCCAGCTCACATTTCAATGCACACCCGACCTAAACTGCTTTTCGTGAACTAATACGAATGAGAATACAGTTACAGTGGGGTTTGCGCTTCTCCAAATTTTGCGATTTATTCATAGAAACATAGCTAGTCAGAAGGGGCCCTCTCGTCTGACCCCCAGCTCCAGCCAGGTCCGGTCACGACATGCCCGCCATGTGCATGTCTAGCCTCTCCTTGAACATCCTCACCAGTGGGGCCTCCACCAGCTCCCGTGGAAGCCCATCCCATACCCTCGAAGTAGTTCCTGACATCCAACTGGAAACCTGGTTTCTTGAGCTTTGCTCCACTGGACCGCATCCTTTCCTCCATTGCAGAGGAGAACAGATCACGACCCTCTTCCATGTGACGCCTCTTCACACTCCTAAATGTTGCCGTCAGCTCCCTGAGTCTCCTCCAGGCCGAAAAGACCCAGCTCCTTCAGTCTCCTCTCCTGTGTGATTCCCCCTGCTCCCCATTTCTCATCTTTGTCACTCCATGCTGAACTGATTCTAATCTAGCTATGTCTCTCTTACCATGTGGAGCCCAGAGCTGTTTGTTTATTAGATTTATATCCTGCTTTTTTCTAAGGAACTTAGAGCAGCTGACATCATTTTCTTCCTCCTGCTCTCCACCTTATCCCCACAACAACCACCCTGTGAGGGAGGTTGGGGTGAGGGTGTGTGACTGGTCCAGAGTCACCCAGCTGGCTCCATGGCCAGGCAGGGAGAAAAACTCCAGCTCCCTGAGGCCCCAGTCTGTGCTCTTAACCGCTATGCTACATTGGCTGTCAGTGATGCAGGTTTCCAATCAGAAATACATTGAAAAATATGTATAGTAGAGGAAAGTGAATGTGACAATGTGTCTATTAGTGAAAATCATCTACAAGAAATGTATTATGTTAGGGAAAATTACTTTCCCCCCCCAAAAAGCAAAATAGTGTGCCAAGAAATGGAAACGAAAACCAATACAAATGTTTGTGTAGATTTTTTTAAATCACAAAATGATGTGAAAATGGGGTAGACCAAATTCAAGTTCAGGAAAATGAGTAACAGAGAAATGAAAATGAACTGGGTCATCTGTCTGAACCAATTCAGTCCACTATACATGAAGGTTTTACAGAGGGGTTCAATCCTTGTTTGTGTGTGTGTTTGTTGGCTTTCTAGCCTTCCCCATTAGCCATGTGACTCCCCTGGCCTCTTGAGTTACAAGAGTCCTGGCTGAGACCCTGGAAAACCTGCTGCTGGTCAGAATAGCCAATACTGGCCTACCTGGACAACTCTCTGACCTCATAGAATGCCGCTTCCTAGGTTAAACCCCCCTGCATTTAGAAAACTAGCACATCAGGATGAAAGATGTGCTAGTTTACTTCGTGCAGGGAACTTTTTACACAAACGAGCATTCAGAAGGGAAGCCTGCTTCCCCCATCTGCAGGCTGACATGTGACAGTTTAAGTGTGTTAAGTGTGTAGGGAATGAAAGAGGTGGTTGTCCTTGGCATGAGTTTCAGGGTCGGAAATTGGGAGTCGTCATATGGGGAGGGTGGATCCTGGGAAACGGCCCCCTTATCACAGAATGGAAGAGGCAGAGGGGCTTTTCTCAAGGCGGCCCTCTCCAGGTGGTCAGGCAGACTCGGAGACTAGCCAGATGTGCAGCTGCTGGGAGGGGGCGTGGGCACCGAGCCCGGTACCACTCTTGATCCCCACGGCACAGTGTTGGGAGAGGAGAGATAGCCAACTAGAGGGACGCCGTCACAGCTAAGAAGCTTGCCCGCCCCCAAAAGGGCCTTCCCTGAGGGAGGGGGCCCAGAGGTACTCGGAAGTAGTTGCCAGATTGGGTTCCACAAACCACTCTGTGCATGCTCAGAGACTCACTCAGTGGCAGTTGTGCTTGCTGGATATACTTAGGAGAATCAAAAGCTTTTGCCAGAGGATGTTCTGTGGCTTTGAAAGTATGGAGGGGGGAACCTCACTCCCGACGGTTGCAGCCAATCTCTTAGTGTACAGTGGGTTGTGCAGGAAGTGGTGCCAGGAAAAGGCTTGCGCAAGGCCCTGCACATACCTCACTTGGTGTGCGCTGCTCCTGCGTTTCCCTCGCAGACCGCAGGAGCCACGTGGGAAGTGTGAGGGGCACGGACCCAGGTGGCGGCAGCCCTGTGGCCGCATGCCCTTCGCACCGAAAGGGGTGCTCCCGAGTTCATTTCCATACATTTCCAGCTTTCCTCAAGCATTTGCCAAATGCAAGCGTACAGTCGTCATGCGCTTGCTGCGGTCGTCGTGCGGAAGCTCGCAGGTTGAGATTTCTGCAGGCTGCCTTTTGTCAGCCAGTGTTAAAGGGGGCAGAAAGCATGGGGAAGGGTCGGCTGGCTGCCTGCCCCCATCCGTGTCTTTCCCCTTGTCTCTTTCCTTGGTGGCTGACATTTGCTGCTGTGCCGCGCAGCAGCCGCAAGGGAAGCTCAGTCGCAAGGACACTGATAACAGGAGAGGAAGGAGGGATGTCTCTGCTAAGCCACGCGAGCAAAACGGAACCGGGCATGCCCTCGCCACGCAGAGCGGGATGCCTTCGGTTCTGAGTTGCCGCAGGGACCAGCATTGGGGACGGTTGGTTTCATGTCATGCTTCTTTGCTTCCCGGTGTCATTGCATCGTTTGCGCTTGCTGGCCCGCAGCGTGGCCCTTGGCTGGATCCAGCAGGCGCTGCTTTTATCCTGAACTCTCGTGGGTCAGCGTGGGGAGGGAGAAGAAACTCGCGGTCCAGCAGGGTACCTGGTGACGTTATTCTTTTTTCAGATGTAGAAATCCCTGAGCATCCCGAAGCCTATCTTAAAATGACCACCCAAACTTTGAAAGCAGCTTCTGGTAGGCTCCTGCTGCTGCATGTGTCTCAACATGACAGTCTCCCCGGGCCGCACGCTCTGCTCCACGCACCCCTTTCATGCGCAAGTGTCTGACCCCCCCCCCCCCCCCGGCTTGTGTCCCCACCATGGGCCAACTGGCTCATGGTAGCATCTCTTTTTGTTTTCTATGACTGCACCATCCGCACGTCTCTCTCCATTAGTCAAAATTAAGTCCGTATGTTTGTTTGTTGTTTTGTCGGGTTTTGTTTCATTTTGCGTTCTCCACTCCTGGACAAAGATCATTATATCTGTGTGCAAATCGGAGATTGAGCCCTTCTGGTCTGGGTGCAAAAGCTTGCTGGTGGTTGTCATCTGCAAGAGAGTTTCGCTTCGCTTTAAAGGTCTGCTCTGCCGTTCCGCATCGGCCTCCGGGGGCAATCGGGCGTCCTCTTCCTACCGGCAGTCCAAAGCAAACAGTCACGATTCTCCCCAAAATGAAAGTGATGAGCTTCTCTTTGACTCTCGCCTACCGTGTGTCCTGGACATCTCTGAGGAGTCAAGTTCCCAACAGAGACATCCAAAGACTTTTATACACAGGAGAAGATAATGCAAACAACTTTCCTCCCAGCTTTTGATGGTTTATAAGATATATAATTGATGTTTTGCCATTTGCTACCTTTTAATAGCACCCCAAAATCGGCCACCTGTGTTGGGCTGCTGCATCTTGCTTCATGGTCGGACCAGCCCTTGTTCCCAGAATCACCCTTTCAGCTCCCTCACCCCAACCCCCCAGTTTGAGCATTGTTGTAATCGCACATTGTCTGTAGGCCTTTTTAGGAAAAGGGTCAAAGAAGTCCCCATAACTGCATGGCGCTCATTTCATGGTCTGGGAAATACTGCTGCCTGCGTTTGCAAACAAGCATGCTTTGCAAAGAAAATGAAAAAACCTCTCATTTGCATTCATGCCATAACCGGGGTCTCTTCAGCGGAATGCTTTCGATTCATTTTGCATTCATTCCCCCCCCCCTCATTTTTAGTGAATTTCTCTTTTGCTGTCATACCACAGGAAAATCTGCCTCTGAGACTCACACATGGCACTCTCCGGAAAGCCCGGCTTGCCGAAAACACCCGTACAGCCAGGGGGAGATGGTTAGAAGTGTCCTCCTCAACAGCCCGGAGACAAGCACCCCCTACAAGGCAGCCTATGTAAGTTCCCGGGGCCAAGCTCATTCCAAGAGGGCTGAGTTAACAGGCGAAAGGGCCAGCTGCATGTGACACGCATCTGCATGTAACCATGACTAGAATGGGAAAAGGGGAACGGCTCTAGGAGGGGGGGATTTAGAGCTGAGGGGGACCGTGCGTGCTTCGACTTTCCTCCTCCAGGCTTCTCCATTGCGCATTGTGTGCGTACCCACACAGACACACAAACGCAGGCGGAGCGCCCTGCCTTGCAGTTCCTACATTTCTCCCCCTGCAACAGCAGGTCAGGATGCACTGAGATAGGGGGTGAGAAATACGGCGGGGAATGGCTAAATGCGGGATCTGGGGCATTCGGGAGCGGCATCGTGCAGTGAAGGTGCTTCTGGGGCTTAGTGCGTTGTTCTTGTCACCTCTGTCCAGAACAGAGCACAGGAAGCTCTGTTGAGGAAGCAGCGCCTGCAGGGTCTCTGCTCCGAGAAGTAGGAAACGTGTCCGAGGGTGCATCCCTTGTTCTGAACTAAAGAAGGAACAGATTTCGATTTATATCCTGCCTTTTTCCTACAAAGGGCTCAAGGCAGCTTACATCTCCTCCTCCATCTTATCCCCACAACAACAACCCTGTGAGGGAGGTTGGGCTGAGAGTCTGTGACTGGCCCAAAGTCACCCAGTTGGCTCCCAGTCCCACGCTCTTAACCACTACACCACACTGGCTCTGGGTTCTAGTTGATATGAATCCAGAGGTGATTACTCCAGGAGAACGCACTGCCCATTCTTAGCCAGCTCACCGGTTGAGTGGCGAGGAGAGGACATTTGTGAGCAGCCCAGCAATACGTACCTGGCTGCATTGTGCATTGTCAAGGGCCTGTTTGTTTGATGCTCGACTTTCCGTGTTGTTGTCTTCCAGGCGAGGCAGCTGAGCACGGGGAGTACAGGCAGCATGAAAGGGATTTCCGGCATCTCGCCTAGTGGAGAGTCCCGAGACAGCGAGAGCTTTGTGGGCGTTATGGCTGTAGATAAGCAACCAGGTATGGTAGCCATGAACCTTGTGAGTAAAAGCTGATCCATGCACATGAGGTGCGCATGTCAAATAAATTTGGATTGTGCAGTCAGTGGAACGGGAAGCTGCCCAGGACAGCCAGCAAAAGTGCAACATGTTCTAAGACAGAAAGACAAGTAGCGGGTGCAACAGGGGGGACAGCAGGGAAATGACTCATTATGCCAGAGGCCTGCAAAAGCATTCAGCTAGTATTTGAGGATTGTGGGGCAACAGAGGGCAAGGAGCTTCTCGGGTCAGGGCTTTCCACAGTCTGGTCATGGTGGGGAGAAGAGTCTGCCCGCCCGACCTGAGGGGATGGGATGAGCAGGAGCAGGCAGGACTGGACTGGCCTCTTTCAGGCCCCATCCTGACCTGCAGAATAAGGTGGTCAAATCCTGCAAGTGGCAGAGTGGACTGTACCACTTCAGAGCACAGAGGAGGAGGCCAGTTTAGAATGCTACCCCAAGTAAAACTATTCTTTCAAGTAAAAACTACATGAGTTGGAGGGCCACCCTGCCTGCGCCTTTCTGCTGGCTTTCTTCTGGCATTTGAGTATTTAGACATGGGCAGTGCTGTGTTCCGAGGTGGGACAGTCCTCCCCCCCTTCTGCTGCATGTGTAGAGCCCTCTGCAGCTGGCACACCGGGGCAGCATTTCAGGATAGCATTGCTACAGTCTGCGTAGATTATGATATTCTGAGTCTGACTTCTCATTATGTTCCTGAGTGATTGGGAAGACGAAAGCAAGTTTAAGTGGAATATTTGGAGTGTCCCCCCTTCAAGCTGTCTGCTTATTAAAAGGACAGGTGGTGTTTTTAGCACAGGATATTGTCAGCACATGAACTTAAAGGGATGCCACCCCTGAAGCAGCACCAAGGACTTGCAGGGGGGTTGTGCTGGTATTGCATGAATTGCAGCCGTCTTCTTAAAGGACAGCTGTTTCCTGAAGGGGCCCAGCCAGGGACTGTTAGCCCGTTCCTTGAGTCCCGACCCAAAGCTTTCTTAAACATTAATTGTTGTTGCGCTGCACTGCAGGACCAGTTGAGAGATGGGAGCTCATTCAGGCCCAAGACCTAAGCAAAAAGCTCCGTCTGAAGCAGAATTTGCAGCAGTGGCAGCAGCTGGACTCCGACCTCACAAACATCAATGCTTGGTTGGATAAAATGGAGAAGGAGCTGGAAGAACTGCAGGAGGCAGGACCGGCCACCAGCATCCAGGTCATTGAGCAAGGAGTCAAGAAGCTGAAAGTGAGTTGATACTCCACACTTGCTGTGTGTGTGTCGCTGCACCAGTCCAAGGTCTGCCTAGGCCTCCTCCCAGCAGTGGGCAACCAGACGTCACTTGGAAACTCCTCGGGATGGGGCCCAAATAGAAGGAATTTAGACTGAGCATCAGGACAGCCTTCCTGGTAGGATGAGTTCTTCAGCAGTGGAACGGACTGTTGGCTGAAAGGGCTTTGATGCTCGTTGCGCAGGGATCCCTTTCAAGAGAACTTTAGGAAGCTAGAAAACCTCTGTGGATACTGTGGTCATATTCAAAGTGCACCACACAGGGGAACAGGTCTGACCTCCCGTGGTATGCTTGGAAGCAAATCGGCCCTATGGAAGCACAAAGCCTCAGCTAGTTCCCGAGTCCCAGAAGTAACTGACTCCAGTCTTAAACTGCAAGCTGGAATTGTGCTCCAAACATCTTTTTCAGCTTTCCCCTCAAGGGGAGGTGCAAAACAGAGATATTTCCAAACTCATCTTCCTACTGCTTGAAAGCAAAGTTGTTTGCTTTGGTCTTTCCTAATCTGCTTCTCCCTCTCCAGAGTATGCTGAAAGCCTTCGATAACTACAAGGCCCTGGTGTTGTCTGTTAATCTGACCAGCAAGGACTTCAAGCAAGCAGACAACACCAGATCTAAAGAGCTTCAGAACAGGCTCCGCCAGGTCAACTTACGCTGGGAGAAGGCAAATCATTTAAACAGGAATTGGGGGAAGAGTTTGCAAGCAGCCCTGATGAACTGCCAGGTCAATACAACATTTTCTCCTGCTTTAATGTCTGTATTGTTCAGGAGCCAACACGGGCTGTTTGGTGAACTATTTTAAATTCCATTGTTGCAGCTGTCTGTGGTTGCATGGAGTGCTTCATGCAAGTGAAAAAAAATCTCTTGTTGTGATGCGATTCTGTTGCTCTGCCTTTCTCAGTAAATGGGCACTTGTGTCTGCAGGACTTCCATGAGCAGAACCAGAAACTGCTGCTGTGGCTGGCTGGCGCTGAAACACGGAGGCACCAAGCACAGGTTAAGGACCCGAATGCCGATCCTCATGCAATACAAGAGAGTTGGACAGAATTAATGGTAGGTGGAAAACTCCCCAGAGCATCTAGGCAGAAAGGTGTTCATGTATTACATGTACATCCTACTTTTCTTCCATTGGGTGGCTCTTCCATTGTGGAACGCAAGGCGGACACGTGCCGTTCTGCGTGATCGCTTCCAGTCACTGGCCAGGCTGCTTAATCTGGCTACCATCCGGTGCCACGAATCTGGTTTTGTGCTCTAAGAATTAGAATCATGCTCTGACTTCTCATCTGTGGAGCAGTTGCCATCATGCAAGGGTTTTGCCCCTACAAACAGCTTGGAGAGATGTACAGTTTTATTTACCCATTCATTCATTCATTCATTCATTCAATCATTTTGTACACTGCTTCACAGCTATGCATATTCCGGAGCAGAAAGCCATGAAAAGTGTGAAGCACAATGGTACAACAGAATATTGATCTGAAAAAATGAAATATCAATATTAACAGTGGTTGGTCAACCAACAAGTTGAAATAAAGACGCTTTGGGGAAGTGCCAGGGACGACGCGACATTGGTGCTGGTGTGTAGTGCGTGAGGCCAGCACTTGTGATTCGTGGGAAGATTCTGAAGAAGGCGACTTAGTGATGGGGGGTGGGAACTCAGCCCTCAGCAGGGGCCTTTGGAGATCCATCAGGGACGCTGCCCACAGCTTCCCAGGCTGACCATGAAAGCAGACATGTTTTGGAAGAGGCGGGAGGGGCCCAAGAAGAGGAGGAGGGAAATGCCTTGTGTTTCCCTGACCCTGTGACGAGGCATCAGGAGATGAGCTGCCCGGTTAGAAGCCTTGCACAGGTCTTACCGGCTGGCCCTTCACCAACAGGGGTGGGACCCATGGCATTGCTCAAAGGGGATTTGGGGAGGACCTTGGGTTCAACACTCGCTGTATGAGCAGAGGCTTCGCTTTCAGCCTACTAGAGGGCTTTTAGAGTTTCCTCGCCCTATTAGCTGTGAGGTGCCAATAAAGCTCTGGATCGCAGATGACTCTGGTGCTTTCGAGCCCAGGAGCAAGAAGGAAGGGCCAGGCTCACTACGTGTGACCTGCGGAGGAAGGGAGCTGCATAGAAAGAGGGCCACCACTCTTCTCCGGGTGGACTCCAGTCATGCCAGTGGTCCATGCAGAAACGCCGGGAATCTGTCCCCCAACGACCTTGGGAACTGAGCAGGTTGGGAAGGGAAGAAGCACTCGTTCAGCTGCCCTGGCCCCAGGCTGTGTAGGGCCTTGTACACTAGTAGACGATTAGATAGATTATTCGTCAAGCTCATCCTTCCTGGACAGAGGGCATGCATTCACACACTCGAGGTCCCGGGTTCAGTCGTGAGCATCTAGAGCTGATGGAGCTCAGGGCTACCAAGCAGAGATCTTGGAGGTCCACCACCAGTGAGAGCAGGCTGTTCCGGACTAGAAGAACCAGCGGTTCTGGTTCCATACGAAACAGAGTCAGACTCTAATATTCTTCCTTACGATTTCCTTGACTAAGCAACTAGAAAAAGAGCTTCTGGAACAGCAACCCCAAGTGAACGCTGTGCAAGAGATCTCCACCTATTTACTGGCCAAATCTGATGAAGGAGAGTATATTGAAGCTGCGGAGAAGGTTCATGTCATTGGGAAGAAACTAAAACAGCTTCTTGAAGACGTTTCACGTGATTTAAAGGCCTCACGGGGAAGCCAGGTGAGACTGGGTTGCATTTTCCAAATCTGGCTAACCCACATTTGTATTGGATGAAGAAGCTGGTAACTGCTGGGAGGGAATGGGCCGCAAACATGAACTGTTGCTTGTGGCTTTTGTTCTAGGACATCAGTACATTGCTGCCCCATGTGGATGAGTTGGATTCTGGAAACTATCATCAGCTGCCGGCAAAACCGTCCATATATAAAAACAAGGCAAGCTGTTTCAGAGTTATTTTGTAGAGTGCTGCTTTTTCACTCAGTCGCTTAGCTTCTTCCCATACTAATTCTTTCCTCAAATGCAGGTTAGCGAGAGTGGCCCGGTCTCCCGGTTTTGTCCCACAAATTGCCATAATGCATGCCTTTATTAAAGACAGAGATGGGTTCTCAAACCCCAGTACCACTTACCGGAAAGTTGCAGAAGTTCCTCACTTGAAGGAATAAAGGGCACATTTTATATTTACAACATTGGCAGTGTGGCTATTTGCACTGATCGGTATTTAAAATAGTCAGGAAAGCAATTGCATTACAGCCACGTTTCCTCCGCCACTCTCACTGCTTTGAAATATTGTGGAATTTGTAATGCTGCTACTTGGAATTTGCATCTTGATTGATTTGATTTCTACCTCATTCTTCTGCCAAACAATGGCACTCAAGGTGGTTTACAGGCATGATTAAAGTGGATTAAAATAGTACATTAAGATACAAGAAATATATAACATTTGTGGGGAAAAAGCAAAAACCGCACCCAGCCCAGTAGGCAAACTTATGGGCCAGAGGGTTTCTTGAACGAAGCTCTTTGTTCGCCAGCAAAACAGAGAAGCAGATTGGGCCTCCCTTAGTAGGAAATTCCACGGCCTGGGAATAGGCATCCAAAAGACTTTCATGTTGCCACCCAGGGCACCTCTGGAGATGGTGTCTTTCAAAGAAGGGACCTTCCAGGAGGGATGTCTGAGGAAGTCCACTTTGGGGACAGGAATCCAGAAGACAGCCAGGGCACAGCTCCCCGGACTTGAGCCCACTTCCTCATGGCTGTGCTTTCAACTCTGATGCTTGCGTAGGGGCTCACCACAAAGCAGCCCCCCACAGAGACTGAGGTGCCCCACCTCCACGTGCGATTTGCTGCCTTTGCTTGTGCGGGTGGAAGAAGGTTGCTGGCTGGGCAGCCGGACTTCCGCACGTGTTTGCTGACTTCCTCGTTGCTTGGCTCACTTCCTAACCGAGGGCCAAGCATGCAGAGAAGTCCCAGCAGACAGAATAGGGCCAGATTCCAGGGGGAATGGTCACATCCCTGCTCCAGTAGTGCTTAAAGGTCAAAACTACCACATCGGATTCTGCCCAGAAACAGAGCAGTAGTTAATAAAGGTGTTAACAAGGAGGTAACAAGCTTCTTGTTATCATTAAGCTTCAATTTCTTAAAATACATTAATATCTATATTCTGTATGTCCACAGGTGGATGGAGAGAAGGCCTTGCAGATTAAGAGCAGCAGGAATATGAGGTAGGACTTTGCTTTCCTTCATTGGTCCTTTTAAAATTGATATTGAAGACGAATGGCACTCTTTGGGCAAAAACAGACATGGCAAGAATTGCATGAATGCAATTATCGTGCACATTCTTTGTTATGTAAATCACGGCCATGGGAATATTGGAGCAGGTGGAGATCCATGTGGGTTTCTTCTCCCCTACCACAGTCCAGACAAAAATCCTTTTTCTGAAAGTGCTCGTTGTAGTTTGAGAAGCTTGAAAGGCCCGTCAGCTTTTCAGGGGGGCAGCATTTGACTCTCTATTGAAGGCTGGTGAAATCTCCCTGCGAATGCTATTTACATAACAAAGCCACACATGCTAATTGCACCCACAAAATTAATGCCATGTCTTACAAGCCCCTTGGCCTATAAAAGTGTGGAAGGAAAATCTGTTCATTCCCTGGTTGTTTCTAAACATTTATCATTTGCACAGTGCTGCTCTGTTGTATCTTATTTATAAACCTTGGCCTGGAAAGTCAAAGATTTTTGCCTCTGTTCGGTTCCTTTGTATAGCAAAGGAAGGCTTAAAAAAGGAAACCTTAAATCACCATGTTAAATAGATGGCTGTGGACTCAGTTTGAAGCAGTTGATGGTGAGTGTAACATTTAATAGGATCGTGTATTATATACAGACACCACATTACCAGGTTATTTTGAAGGGACGTTCATATAACTGAATTTTCCCAAGAGATCCATCTAGGAGTCGCTTCTGACATCAGGTCTGCTCTCACATCTGCAAACAGCTGTCTGAGGACTTGAAGGGCTGCTTTCAAAGCAGACCATTTGGGGCCAAACGGGCCCACAGCCCAACTCGCCATACAGACATCTCACAAATGCAGTGTTCTCTATTTGCAGAGCGGAAGTCAGGCAAGAAGCTGGCCCAGCAGCTCCCAAGAGCCGCTGCTTTTTCTACCGCGTGCTCCGGGCAGCTCTGCCTCTGCAGTTGCTCTTCCTTCTCTTGCTGCTTCTGGCCTCCATGGTTCCTTCTTCAGAAGAGGACTACAGCTGCACGCAGGCCAACAACTATGCCCGGTCTTTCTATCCGATGCTGCGATACACCAACGGACCTCCGCCAACTTAAAAGCACTCGCCTTGGTATTTCTGCACTCAACCAAAATTAAGTTCCTCCATGGGTGCTTCCTTTTGTGCTACTAATGTTAGTCTGGGGACTTGACACTGCTGAAATTTCTCCCCGGTTTCACTGTGACTTCCACCTGGGTCTAACTGGCGCTCAAAACATCATCAATATGTACACTGAGATCTTTTGCAGGAACCTCGAGCAAGCCTGTCCCTGCAAGGGACACGTCCTCCTTCCCATCTCCAGTAATAAGATCCTTTACAAATTTCAATGTTGGGGGTGGGTGGGGTGGAAGTGTTTATCGCGCACACTTTTGTACAGAAAATACTGTTTCTATATATATTTTTATCTGTAAGCAATGTACTTTATATTTTTGCACAATCTGTCCTCGGCGGTTTTCATGCCAGAAGGTCCCCCGAACAAAATACAAGATAGCGATGTGTTCACGTTAAAATAATTTCTCTACCAGTTGATAAATGCCATCGAATACAGTCCTCCAGAACAGTGTCCTGCACAAGCACCGATGTAATCAGTAGGTGCTTGACCTGTAGTGAGAGGATGAGAGTTCTCTTACCGCAGCCCCCTTTCATGTTCAGTTGGACTTGCAGAGGAGGACTTCCCGGTGGATCGGGCCCATAGTTTTTAATGTAAGAGTCCATTTGTTGAATTGGTGCTTTACAGGCACAGCAATCACAAAATCGATCTCCTTATTTTGCTATTGTGGGAGGCGTTTTTTAAATATTTGTTACACTTCTGTATTTTAGAAACCTTATTTCTCCAGCTAAGCGGATATATTTCCAAGGCGAAGATTTTAGTACTTAGAATGCTGCCTTGTCTGATGTCTCCTTTTGTACTTTTTTTGATAAAAAGAAATGAAGACACTGCATGTAGGAGGGCTTTTACTGTTCATAGTTTTCTAAAGAAAGAACTGCTGAAAATAATTCGTCTTGATTATCTCCCATGTATACAAATGGACTATGTAAACTTGCGGCTTTTCAATCAAAGATGTTTACATTTGCTCTTCTTTGAATAATGTACAGTAAGCCAAAAGAAACTTCTGTGGATTTTTAAAATGATTAAATGTGCACAGTCTCTCAGAATGCCCGTGCAAGTGACCTGCCCAGAGAAAGCAGCACGGGGGTGGCGTTGTCCGTCCTCCCACTCCCCCGTTCTCGGGTGTGCATTGCACACCCCAGTGCCAGCAGGCTTCAGTTAGAATGTTACTTAAATCTGAAGTAAGCTACAGGCCATTTCCTGAGCCAGAGAGAGAAGACTGCAGGGGGAGGCAGGGTTCCTTCACTGAGTGGGCCAATGAATCCCACGGTGGATCCTCACTCGTGCATGTTTATATCAGCCGTAGCCACATGGACTATAGACCACTTCATACCAGAAGCCTGGGAGGGAATTTCGGTGATTGGCCCGTTCCTTGTGCTTTTCCCAGTGGGCTTTGGCTGGCCCTTGCTGGAAACATGATGCGGGACTAGATGAATCCATGTTCAATGCAGCAGTGGGTTTCCTACCTAACTTTCCAAGGTTCCTTGTGGTTGAAGTGCAGGTGGGCTTCAGGAGGTAAGAAATTCAGATGGTTCTGTCTGAACCCAAAGCCTACTCGGTTTCAGCCACTGTTTTTCCGCATTAAAATACCGCAGCAATCCTGCCTTCATTTATCGCACTATTTTGCAAAAGTTGCACTTCCGGAGATGGCATCTACCGTCATCTACCACCCGGGGCACTGATAAGATGCGGCAGCAGTGAGAGCCCATGCAGTGTTGCAGGGCATAGACGACAGCGATACTGCTCTGGTTTCGCCCTGGGCCTAGAGGCAGGAATGCCCTATGGATCGAGCAATGTCTGCACCAAAAGTCCCAACAGTTAGAGGATTGCACACATTGAAAAGATAAGACAAGGGCCTCAATCCAGTGGCAGATGCACTCAAGGAAATAGCCACACGGGGAAACAAGCCCCTTGCGTGACATTCCCAGCCCAATCTAGCAGGCAGGAATGCATGAGTGCTCCTGCATTTTAAATAGCAGCAGTACCTGGTCAGTTGTTTGCCTGTGTTTAGCTCAAGGGATGCCCCCTCCGCCTCCACCTAGCCTGTCTTTGGCAAAAGAACGAAAGTGTGATGATGAGCGTGTCAGACTGGAATCTCACGCTTCCGCTCAGCTGCAAAGCTGACTCTGGGCCAGTCGCAAAATCTCAGCCCAACCTACCTCACAGGATTGTTGTGGGAATAAGGCTGAGAGGAGGGGGAGGCTGTATACTACTCTTGAGTTCTGTAAAAACGAAGAAGGCAGGATATGAAGCAAATCCATACATGAATAGCTCAGCTCTATTGTTGATGCAGTACATTTCTATTCTGCCTTTTTTCCTCTTGGGTGTAATCCAAAGGAGCTTACATAGTTCCATTTTATCTTCACAACAACCCTGTGAGGTGGGTCAGGCTGAGAGTGAGTGACTGGCCTAAAGTCACCCAGTGCACTTCATGATCAAGCAGGGACTAGAACTCGGATCTCCCAGGCTCCAGTCCAGCCCCTAACCATCGCACTGCGCTGGCCCTACCACATCAAAGCGGCTCCAGGGCGTAGGATGATCGTTGTCCCATTAGTTCTGATATGTCGTGAAGGCGAGCTAGCCAATTAATGCAACTTGCAGCGCAGTAGAACAAGCAACTTGTTTATTCCCCTTTTATTTATTCTGCCAATTCTGTCTCCACTTCAAATACAAGCAGATGCTTATCCTAACAATGTCAACATTATTTACAATACATTGCATGAGAGGGTGGAGTTGATATTAAATTAGAATTAAATTAGCATAGCAAATTTTAGTCTTAAGCACAAGTGTCAAGTTAAACAAGAAAGTAAGTTCAGAAGATTACCCAGTTCCCACTAAATTGGTTTTGCAATGCAAGTAAAACCCAAAGACATAGACTATAGTAGTATGTATGGGCTAAAATGGCAGAATGGTAGATCCTTCCCCAAGGAGTTTGCCGTTTAAAGGGGGGAAATGGAGGGGAGTGAAGTGGAAGAAGAAACAACAAAAATATGTGTGTTTTCATTGCCTGTGATTCATTTGAGTTTGCAATGAGACTGAGGAAACCTGCCCTCTTCCAGATGAGCTTACCAAAGGCTGACCAACCATCTTTGGAAGCCCTTGTCCAAGTTTCCCACCACCTCCCACCCTGCTAAATTCAGAGGGTGTTGATCCTCTTCTACCCTGGAAGGAGTTTTGGTCACAGTTTGGGTTATGCAAGCAAGTCCTTTGTGTTTGAACCGGACCTCCTTTCTGCAGGTTTCTTGATCTGCCCCCATCTTCCCTACCCTTTCAACTGGTCAGAGTTGCTTTTACTCAGTACAAATCATTCACCTGCTGACAAAAGATACTCCATCTTTTAACAGATATTCCACATCTGTGAAACCACCTGTGGTCCTTCAGGAAGCAAAGCGGTTGGATACCCAAGAAATATTCAGGCCCTCTCTACCTATATCAGTCATTTGACCAGTGGCGTTCTCACTAAGTGCAGGACTGGGCAACTTGTGGCTGTCCAGATGTTTTGCTTACAACTCCCATCATCCTTCATCACTGGCTACACTAGCTAGAGCTGACAGAAACGTTAGGCCAAAACTATTTGCTGCCTGCTCTTAGTGGGGAAACAGTTATTTTTAAGGACTTTCGGTTGTCTCTTGACCGCTTCTAGAAAGATGGATTGGCAGAGCTTGCGAGTTTGCTAAGGGACTGTGTGTAGAGGGCTGTTCTCAGCCAGCCGAAGGCCCGTTCACGAGGCAAAGCAACCTCCGTTGTGAAGCTTCTGGCCCTGAAGTGCACACCGTGTCCACTTCTTGTGGCCCAGAGTTTGCTGAGGGAAAAGGGAGAGGATGAGGGGAAACACTACTGTGAGAAAAGGAAACCTAGACACCCAAAGTGGAAGCGTACAAGGGCCAGTGAAGTTGGCTAAAAGCTTCAGGGACATTGAATGAGGAATGCAAAAATCAGGCTAGAATCTGCATTCCGCAAATCTTGCTGGAGCTTGGCCCTGGCCAGAAAGGGAGCCAAGCCAAGATCAAGTCCTTGAGCACTTGGGAATACGAATGGAGGATACGTCCAATTCACATGTGTGGAAGCAGCAATCTGTTCGCACAGAGCATGGGTGGCAGGCAGCATGGGTGCAAGCCAGACACACTTAGACTTGTGAATGCTCAGCCTGAGATGGACTCAGGGCAGAGAGAAAATGGGCTGGAGTCCAGGGAGCGGAGCCAAGGAAATCTGAAAAATTCCCAATCTGCTGCAGCACAATTGGCCTCGCTTAGTCAGCAGGACACGCACACTCAGAAGCTTTGTGCATGGCTCAGATGGTGGAATGAAAATAGATATTTTTGGACTGCTTAAAAAATGCGACAGGGAAACAAGACCGAGCCTGAAAAATAATATTTGAGGAGATTAGGCGAGTCCCCAGACAAGTCTTCTGAAGATGGACAGCTGGCCTTTGTGAGTGGCGGTGGTTACAGAATTCCTGGCCCTCCTCAGAAGCATCTCATTCTCTCAAGTTCTAAAATGGGGATAAAGGAGACCTGTTTCACGGGCCAGTGGAGAGGACATGAAATGAAACGGTTAACTGAAGTATAAATGGATAAGAACAAATCTAAGCATAATAATGGCTAGGAATGGCCTGGTTCACTTATTTACCTTGCTGACAAATCTTCTTGTGTGATCGAGAAATGGGGATGGAGCAGCCGGTAGCTAACCCCACCCGGGAGCTGAAAAAAGGGCTGAGTTCACACATCACAGCAAACCGTCTTGAGCAGTTTCCACGGTGCTCGGGTTTTTGCCTGAACAGTCAGACAGTCGCGTGATTCCCAAAGCAACATACTCCCTGCTCCATCTGCCCCACCACGCCATGCATCCTAGTGACTGCAGTGAGCAAAATTTCCTTCCTTTCTCTGTTGCTCCTCCTGGATCTCCACGGCCTCATCCTGACTGTTCTGCTGAGTTTTGAGGTGGGGTCGCCTTCATCCCCTTCTGAGCTGAACCTGCATCCCCAAGCCACTCCAGCCACCCAAGGGACTTTTACTAAATCATAAAACACTTTTGCCCCACTTCTCCCCCCGTGCATTTACCCACTTCCTCCTCATTTCCAAAAGTAAACAGGGAGACAGGCACATTGCCCTGCCAACAGGCATAAAGTAGGTGATGGTGCATGTGTTGCTAGGATACTGAGGACAGTAGAGAATTGATGACTGGACTGCCACTTCCATGGCTGCTCTTGCCATGGGTCTCTATGGTGTTTCCATTCAAACATGGTAAAATGGTGATCCCAGGTCTGAACAACCAGAGAAGCAGAGTGAAGCATGGAAACTTTGGAAGAGACTATTGATTCTCCATGTGCGTTGAAACTAAAGGGACCATGCAGGAAGGCCACAACTGGTTCCAGACAGCACAATAGCCCATCAAGGGTCAGAAGTCGCTCTGGTTTCTTGTAATGTGTGAACCCCACCAATATATGAGACAAGGCTCCATACAGAGACCCGTATAAGCCAAGTCCAAGGTTCCATTTAGATGCCAGGAAGCACTTCCTGAGAGTCAGGACCCCGAGGGTGTGGAATGGGCTTCCACGGGGGGTCGTTGAGGCCCCATCGGTGCGGGTGTTCAGGGATAGGCATGGTGGGCATGTCATGAGCAGAGCCGGCTGGAGCTGGAGGTCAGACTAGATGGCCCAGGAGACCCCTTTCTGACTCGCTCTGTTTCTATTTTTCTAAGTCTTCCTCTGTTCAAGCAGGTCCACGTGAGGCTAACACATCGCCACATACACCAAGATTGCACTTCAGAGGTTACCTTACACAACAAAGGGACAGAATAGGGTCAGGTGCAAGGAGAGAATTGTCAGCTGATTATGAACTGGCCTGCAAGAAAATTCAAAATGCTTTGCACACATTATGTTAGCAACCCTTTTCAAGATGCTCTTCGACATGTGAGGCTTTTAACATGCAGCTTCAAAATTACTTCTGCTTTCAGAACCTTTGTGGGATCAAGACCAGACCCTTTGCCCATAGTTTTCCCCCCATGGCTTTTAGTTTGCTGTTTTTCTAGGTGTTGCATGATGAAC